TCACCCACCCCTCCCTCAGTTAGTTTGTCCACCGGTTCAAAGGGTGACACGGAGGAGGTGCTGGAAGATCTAAATGTTGATTTTTTCGAGATGATTCATGCTGAAGAAGGAATTTTTGACAAACCATTTGTCACACAAAAAGCCATTCTTAAACGGTGGAGAATTGGAGAATTTTATTACGTTTACGAAACATTAGGAACGCTTCTGTCTGCACGAGGAAGGTTAGATGGCGCAATTGAATGTTATGAATATTGTTTGGGCATGGACAAAGATTACAGTCACGGTAAAGATTTGGTGGCAGCCGTTGCTGAGCTTTATCAGGTGAAAGCGATGAAGCACGCTCTAAACGAAGACAAGGCGTTGTACACAAGGTGGATGAGAGAAGCCGAAGAGTGTTTTAATAAACTTCGCCTGAAAGAAGAAAAAATGGATTCTTTTGTTGCGAGAGCCTTTGGTTCGTTCCTTTGCAGACAGGGACGTTTTGCAGAAGCTATCTCCCAATTTCAAAATATTTTGGATGAGAAATCTGAGACGAAGGTCACGCTTACGTCCGTAGACAATTTGTTGATTAGCGTTTATCTTCAACGTGAAGTAGAAGCCAGAGGCAAACTGATCTTACCATTGGAGATTCTCGTTTATCATGAAATGGTTCCTGCGTTCTTGAAATTGAATAAAGTCGACAATGCACAACAATCAGTACAGCAAATGGAGGAGCAGGTAAAACGGTATCGATCAGCGCCAGAATATGCTCTTATCCTTTCTGTCTTAGGATACACTCACAACGATGTTGGAAATCGCGATGTTGATGAAATATACGAGAAAAGCGAAAGACATTTTCCTTTCTGTTCTCCAGATTATTCCAGGTCATAAGCCTGTGATTGATGCGCTGGAAACTTGACACTAATCTCAAACAATCACGTTTACCATCTAAGATACAAGCACGCGCGACTCATTTGAAAGATTACAATGAAATGACGAAAAATGTAGGTCAATGTGCCACACCGGCTGCGAGGTCGGATGAGGGGAAACGGGGCAAAAAAATCACCAGAAGATTTGTAAGAGTAAGAGTGGCTTCAAAAGTGGATAAAATTGAATTGATAAATTTCGTTGCAATTTTTTGTCGTTTGAATCATATGGATTACATCATTAATTTTGCAAATTTAAAATAGGGCGAGAAACATTGTCATTGATTACGCACACTTATTTTTAGACTGCTTTTGTTTAAATATGGTATAAAGCTTCATTATAGCAACACTTTAATATAGATCAGTTCCATAAGATAGCGACTATGTTTGACGCTGTAAATACGCTTTGGTAACTGCAATATTTGTTGGATATCTTAAAACGTATGAAGTAAAAATATATATCACGGGTAGTAAATTTCATAAAACCTGTTGGAAATCAGTATTTGTGCCACATGACCAGAAAATTTTCGTTGTGTACATGCATGTAAATATGTCAATAGGCGTAATACTGAATAATTTCACGCGGCGTTTTGCGCGGGACTACACGCACCTGTCCGAAATATTTCAAAATGTCGGAAGCCGTCATGGCTATCTTTAAAAGGGAAGACGGGGAATCGGCGCATAATTCATAAATCTAGCTTACTGATTACGGTTAAAATATTTGAAAAGGAAGCAAGATTTGAAAAATTGTTAAAAAAAATGGATAGACAGTACCATTTAAATTCATAATGTACGTACCATAACCATCGACAGCAAATTTTAGTTTTTCAATATTTTCTAAATTTAATCTCATTCGGGTGGAACATGCAGCGAAATGAATATTTGTATAACCGTAATTAAGGACCCGTCTACACGATGCCAAAGAATTTGAAAACCGAAGAATATTTAACGTTAAAATATTTATGTCAGCAAATATTTTATGTTAAAATATCGATTGGGAATCAATTAAATAATACCCCTGTATACGAGGGAACGTGGGTGCATAGGCGGGATTTTAAACGCCACGCGTCATGTCGTCGTTTTCATATCTTTTTCAAATTTATTGGGCAAAGCCGTTCTCGCGTATCCGCTCAGTGGTTCTCAAATTCCGCAGGTGCAACACACTTGGCATGCTTTACAACAAGTCTTCTTAACTGCAACCGTCACGAAAATTACATGCAAAGACTCTGTGTTATGTGAAAAGAAGGGATAATTCCGGCGGCCCTTTGTTGAACCAATCCTGGACCAAATTGAAGGAATTTTAGTGTAATCTTTTAACACTCTTTAGTTTACTTTTATTGGTAGTGTTTGCCTTTTGATGTTGCATATTTCGTTCAAAACAACGTGCTTTCGTTTACTGAGTATACTGTTTAATTTCATGAAAGCGAAACAATTTTGCATAATAAGACGTTTGCATAATAAGAATTCGCCATATTGCGCCGTCACATAAAACAAAATTATTTTGTCGGAGCCTTTTGCCTTTACGACTTGGTATAATACAGCCATATCTTCAAATAAACATTCTTAAAACTTTCACATTATTATTTGGCGGCGTATTTCACACATTTCACTTTACATCAACGCCAGTATCATTATATTTAAAGTAATGTAGCTATAAATGAGATTGTGGTAGACAAAACATTGTAAATGCTTTGTCTTGAAACATTTTATAATGACTGTATGTTAAAGCAATCCATTTTAGCAAAAAGCATTTAACTCTTTATTATGTAGGAAATGCTTCTTTAAAGGGATTTCCAAAAATCTACACTTACCATGCACATAATCTATTTCCCCACATAATCTATTTCTATTATTTTGGTGTGAAATCAATCTGTTATCACAACTTCAATTTGTCATCACTAGATTATTGAATTCCACCTCAAATTTGAAATATATTCGAAAAAAATATACTTCGCCAAAGCCTGAGCAATTATAGTTAATAAATTAAGCAAACATGGAGGACAAAGAAAATTCTTCTCTGAAAGAGAAAATAAATATTTGTTGAAGAAAGAGGCCTGCAAATACGATAGTGAAAGTAATTTGTATTTTTGTTTTAAAACTCTTTTCCGGCTGATCAGATGACGTTTAAAAGTGGTCGGCTCAGTTTTAATATGCGTCTCCTGCGCGAATACTTGACCGATTTTAATAAAAATTGAACCATTTTAAAGAGGAAATTGTCCTCAATAGATAGATTTTTTTAGTTCTGTATGCAAATTCACTATAATATTTACTTTAAAATGCATGCGATTCATTTATTATGATTTTGGGCACTTCACTCGATGTAGGTAAATTCTAGATTTTTAAAGGATCCTAATTTCGAGTCGAATTATACACATTTCAAATTCAAGCCAGGAACAGTTGATGGAAAAATGAGTCAACTATAGGTCCTACGGCAGGAATCCGGAACCTACGCTTTTGCGATGCCGCCGCAATGCTCTTGCCACTGAGCTACATGTAGGGTAGCTGACAAGAGCAAACGTGGTTAATGTGTATAGGATGGCAATGCCGGGAATTGGCGAGGGTAAATCGATTATGATTTTTGGCACTTCACTCCATGCAGGTAAATTCTAGAGGTTTAAATAAAGGATCTTAATTTCGAGTGGAATTATACACACTTCAAAGTCAAGTGTGTTTGAAGTGTGTATAATTCCACTCGAAATTAAGATCCTTTAAACCTCTACGATTTTTATTATTAGATATTATAACTCAAAGCATTGTGCCCAAAAGGAAACGGAAACTGGTTACAGTGATTTAGTTCACATTTCTAGGATCATTTTGATATATCTAGCTTCAAAATCGAGGCTTTAGACGATATGCGTTGATTTTTTACATAGACATTCATAATCTGCATGATGTATTATCGCATCGCTCACGGCAAGCATTTCACAATAATAAACAGATTCAACAAAATGTCGGGGAAAAAAAGCGGAAAAACTGACCCCTTTGGTCCAATTTTACGTCAGGAATCGATTTTTGCGGTCAAATAGACCTTAGGAAGTGGTGCATCACAGACTTTTGTCACATTTTTGAACTGCGTGACAATACGGATTCTGAACAAGCACTAAGCACGCGCTTAGCAACGCTCAACAAGGCTCATCGCTTAGACCTTAAAATGGCTATTTCTACGATTTTTTTGGACATCTTAATCCAAAAAAAACTCAGAATTATAACAGAAGAATAAAAACGTAAAATTTGGACAGTCTGAGGACAACAGAGAACGAAAAAATAAAAAAACAAGGAATTACGAAAAGTATACGGTTGCCATGGGTGAGTAATTTGAGATGACAATGCAACCTAGTATTTTGAATTATATTACAAATGTGGCTTTTAACTATCTGCTGATTTAAATATACTATTTGTATGAACTCTTCAAGCGCTATCGTTTGGTGGTATTCCGGTATCTTTAGCCGAAATACTTGCAGAAGATATTCTATGTTAAGCAAGGGTCCCTTCTATGACCCCAAACGACCAAATGGAAAAGAGATAAATTTTTAAAAATTGCCAAGAAATTCCTAGAAATTAGGGTGTCTAAATTCATCCGAATTGAGTTAGTTTATGTTCCGCATATGTCATGAAAATGAAATTCAAGAAGGCTACATGTTTTGGTATAACAACCTTGACTTGAACAATCTATGTTAAGTGAAACGGCAACTCGGTCGCTATCCTTGAAACAAATTTGAAGCCAAAATGAAATATTTCATTTTATGTCTTACTATTTTGCGGTATCATTTTTACATTCTATTATTCTCATTAATATTGGCTTTATACCTTCTAAATATCGTCATAATTCATTCATTCATGCAATGTGCTTTCGTTTTTCTGCCAATAAGTTATTAATTTCACTCAGACTTATCGAAAATGAATTCGAAACCATATTTTAATGATAATTTGGTATATTGCATGGGTGACGACCGTAAATAAAAGTATTTTGTCCGAATGGCCAGAATCATAGTGTGTTCAAAAGGTATAACTGAATGTTAGATGATTGGGTGCATTGAGTGGCATTAGCCTCTCATTCAGAATTTATATAATGTGTTTTTCTTAGAAACACGGGTAGAAGATTGTTTAACAAGTGCGAAGAGAAAAGGGGATAAAAGTTGTTTTCACAAACAAAGCAATCATATTATTGAAGTCTCAGTTGGTAAGTCGTTACTCATTCATTGTCATTGACCGTACTTTACGTCTTAAGTCGATTACCTTGTCGCAAGAGGTTGGAATCGTTGTAGAAAGTATTTCTAATCAGTATTGTGTAGACAGTATAGTCCTCTTAGTCTATGGTCTTATAAGATCCTTTAAACCTCTACGATATATTTATTATTACATATTATACCTCAAAGCGGTCTAATCCTTAGAATGTTGCCCAAAAGGCAAACGGAAACTGGTTACAGTGATTTAGTTCACATTTCTAGGATCATTTTGATATATCTAGCTTCAAAATCGAGGCTTTAGACGATATGCGTTGATTTGTTACATAAACATTCATAATCTGCATGATATATTATCGCATCGCTCACGGCAACGCTCATCGTTAAGATCTTATAATGGGCATTTCTCCGATTCTTTTGCACATCCTAATCCAAAAAAAGCTCAGAATTATGACAGAATAGTAATATGTAAAATTTAGACAGTCTAAAGACAACAGAGAACAACAGAGAATTAAAAACAAGGAATTCGAAAAGTATGCGGTTGCCATGGGTGAGTGGTTTGAGATAACGACGCGACCTAGTATTTTGACTTATACTACAAGTGCGGCTTATCAGTAAGATGTGACTATCTGCTGATTTTGATGTGTTATTTATATGACCTCTTCAAGTAGGTCCCTTCCATGACCCCATAAGTCCAAATGGAAAAGTGAATATTACATTGCCAAGAAATTCCTAGAGATTAGGGTGTCTAAATTCATCCGAACTGAGTTAGTTTATATTCCGCATACGTCATGAAAATGAAATTCAAGAAGGGTACGTGTTTTGGTATAACAACCTTGACTTGAACAATCTATGTTAAGTGAAACGGCAACTCGGTCGCTATCCTTGAAACAAATTGAAGCCAAAATTAAATATTTTATTTTATGTCTTACTATTTGGCGGTATCATTTTTACATTCCATTATTCTTATGAATATTGGGTTTATACCTTCTAAATATCGTCATATTTCATTCATTCATGCAATGTGCTTTCGTTTTTCTGCGAATAAGTTATTAATTTCACTCAGACCTATCGAAAATGAAATCGAAACCATATTGTAATGATAGTTTGGTATATTGCGTGACGACTGTAAATAAAAGCATTTTGTCCGAATGGCCAGAATCATTGTGTGTTCAAAAGGTATAACTGAATGTTAGATGATTGGGTACATTGAGTGGCATTGGCCTCTCATTCAGAATTTATATAGTGTGTTTTTTTTAGAAACGCCGGTAGAAGATTGTTTAACAAGTGCGAAGGGAAAAGGGGATTAAAGTTGTTTTCACAAACGAAGCAATCATATTGTTGAAGTCTCGGTTGGTAAGTCGTTACTCATTCATTGTCATTGACCGTACTTTACGTCTTGAGTCGATTACCTTGTCGGGCGATGTTGGAATTGTTGTAGGAAAGTATTTCTAATCAGTATTGTACAGTCCTCTTAGTCTATGGGTCTTCCAAATTCTGAAGCAATACAGAAACCGAAGAAAGACGTACTAATGAGATCGCGTATGCTCCTACGCCTCGGCATATACCTTTAGGACAGTGGAGCTTGATTTATTATTATAGTCCACAAGTTACAACATTCTCATGATGAGTTGGATTAAGGCATGGAAGTATTTATCAGCATCAAAATACCTTTTTAGAACAGCTTGTCATAGTGTGACGTAGCACCACTCAATCGAAATTTTTTAAGGGTGGGTCGTTTGCCGTGGGTTGAAAACCTACCATTTTCATGCCGGATATTAGCTGTTATGGGGACTTCGCTTTTAACGGCCAAAATGGCTAAATCGGTCATATTTTGAGGGTAGTTTTTTCGGTGTAAAGGAAAATACCCAATGTATTGCATGTTACACATCCAGTTAGTGACCTTTAAAACAATCTACATGCATGCGGGCTTGCCGGAACCATTTAGAAAAAAGGGCGTGGTCCCAACTTGCAGCACATTTTCTTCCTTCAGCGAAACAAATTTCAACAAGGAATAATCCATGGCCTTGACCATGACTTGCACATGACTATGACCATGGCTTGCACTTGACCATGGCTATGACTTGCACATGACTATGGCCATGACCTGTACATGACTATGACCATGACTTGCACATGACTATGACCATGGCTTGCACATGACTATGACATGACTTGCACATGACTATGACTATGAATTGCACATGACTATGACCATGAATTGCACATGACTATGACCATGACCATGACCATGACCTGTACATGACTATGACCATGACCTGCACATGACTATGACCATGACCTGCACATGACTATGACCATGACTTGCACATGACTATGATCATGGCCTGCACTTGACCATGGCCATGACCTGCATATATGAAGACAGAATGGTTTAAACGAACGGCTTAAAATAGATGTCTTTTTGACTATTTTAGCCAGTAAATTAATAAGTCTTAACTATCAGTCAGATTATTATTTGTAAACAGTCAAAAAAAATTATTGCTTGATTTTGTACAGTTACACGTCTGGGGCCGGTTGTTCAAAAGCCGGTTAGCTTAACCCAGGGTTAACTCAAATTTTCACATCAATATTTCTATGAAATTGAACATGTTTTTTTCATTAATATTTTGTGGATCAGTAGAAGTCTTCTTTTGTGAAATCTTGAAACAAACAGCGGTGCAGAAGCATATAAACCAAAACAGCGGAGTAAAATTTAACCCAGGGTTAGCGCTAACCCAGCTTTGAACAACCGGCCCCAGATGTAACTATTTTTTATAAAGACTTAAAAATAATAATAGTAATACTGACCATGAACGTGACCATGACCATGATTTGCACATGACTATGAAACTGGTGTTTTACTTTTTTTCTTCAAATTCTTGCAGACAAAATGGCATGCAGCTCAAAGACACCCTCGAGAAGTAGAGATGACGGTCAGTATAGAGCAAATAACATTAGCCTATAAAAGCATCAATTTAGAATTGAAACTGTTTGTAGCAGGATATACGAAGCTTGCAAATTCTATATTGTACCGTAGGCGGCACAGAAATCAGTTTGGTAACGTTATTTATCAATTATGTAAATACATTTTCGATTTAAATCTGGCTAATGCTTGTCCTAGTCACTGACCTCGATGCATGCATGAATAGTCGGTACAGTCGTACAATCTTATAACATGACAAAGTATACGCAGATCTCACGCGGAAAATTTGCTCAACGTGACCCTGAAAACCGAAGTATCAAAGTACATTCAAATACATACTAGAATTCTTTCAAAAGCAATTCGCGGGTTTATGCAATTTGTGGGATTTTTTAATTACGTGTTAGATTCCACACAGAATTGCAACGCACTTATATTATTTACGCCTACTTGTGCCTTATTTTTCGTTTTCAGTGCACGTGCTTTGTCTATATATGTGTTGTTATAAAAGTCATGTAAGCTACTGTCCTCAAAGAACTTTTTGCGTTCGAAGAAGGAGAACGCTTCCTAGCCGTGTCATATCGAGATTTGCGATGTCAGATTTGCCTCGTTCTGATGTGTCGCCATAGTAACTGGAGACCATGTGCTCGCTCTACTTTGACAGCCATCACTGTTGTTAAATTACTCATTTTGCGGGTAACCTTTTGTATCACATACGCTGTGATCGAGCCTGTGACCTTATAATGTTAACATTTTTGTTAATGATCGTTAACCGAAATCAACACATTTCGAACGCACATCACTAATCTGTGATTACTGCTAGTTGTAAATCCTGTCTTTAAAACTTTTATATCCTGTTAGGACTGACCCTCCCTCCCTGGTGGTAGTTAATTTGAAGTAAATTTACCTTAATTGTGAAATCCCTGAAAAAACCCACTGACGTGTTGATGCAATCTTTGCTTCAATCTGTTGGATCACCCGACCAGAAATTAAATACAACATGGCGAGAGGCATTAAAGGCGCATATACAATGAGGCTTATTCGCACAGTCAAAACGCGAGAAATATACAAGAAAAACACGGCTTACCTTACTTGCCCATTCGTGTTTGATATTCTCTCACCAAGTTTTCAACAATTTTCACAAGGAGGCAAGATAAGACCTATTTCAAATAGCTGGTTCCATATGTTATTGAAATTGTACAACAACGTTGAGTGACAAGTTTAGGTCCGTATAATATCGTCATATTACAACCTTTTCGTGTCCAAAAGTCTTGTTAGTCCGAATAATGATCAACCCGATATGTGTAAAAAATACGCAACGTTCTGTAACTTAAACTGGTTTCAAATGGCGTTACAGATTTTTCTCGTAGCTAATCTGAAGGCCTACTCCTGGTTATGCTAATATTTTTGTGTTTGTTCACTCGGAAAACAATCAATTTCTAAAGGAATGAATAATTATGATAACTTTGCTTTAATTGTTAAAATTCTATCGTCTGGCTGGCTACACCACTGCGCAAAACATTTAGCATTTTATTTCTTGTTATGCAATGTGATTTGATATGAATGATATACTTGTAAATTACTTTTTTCTTAAGCAAAACCTAGCAAGGTTACGTCATTCTCGCGTGCGCCCGCAATCTAATAATACAACAACCGCTGACTGTATCAAATTTCTGGCCAGGTTTCAAATTATATAAGAGAAATTTATAAAATAGCAGGCAAGATTGCATGGAATCAATTAATTAGCTATAATTGCAATTAGGAATGTCAATGTTCAATTTACTAGGTTTCAGGCAACTGTTGCCATGGTTGAACGGGGGAAGGTCATATTTACAAGCAAAACAGCAAGGTAAATATCATAGAGTATACTTAAACAATGCGGGTAGAATTTGATGAATTTCAAAAAATTAGCACTTCACATTGTAGTTTAATGTGAACTTTGTTCAACCCTGCAGTATTTTTCGACAGCAAGGTTTTATTCTCAAAAAGAATATATTTATTTTCTATATAGTTATTCCATTCTGTTCAATAAGTTAATAGTTAAGTAAATTAGCTTGTAGGTACACCACGTCGATATGTAACACTGCAAAGCTTTCGGTTCGTATTTTAACGTGCTTGTGAAATTAACAAATTAAGCTTAATGCATATTAGGACATGTGTGTAACAAAGTTATGAAGTTACTAATTAACAAAATTATTATTAACAATTAATGAGACCTTTATGGAGAATTACAGATGTATACATGTGACCAAAATACTGCGCAATGATTGCAAGTTAGACTCATTAATTATTCATGAATTTCACAATTAATAATAATAATCTTAATTTTCTCTCAATAGACTTTCGAACAGTAATCTTTCCAGGAATGCTGGGCGAACAAAATAAAGCTGCCGTCGAGGTAATGAAATTGTTATGCATTTAGTTGATGGTGTTCGTCCAGCTACTTCAATTACCCATAACAAAAAAATGGCGGATGTACTTTTACCAGAATGCATTGCGCTCGGAAATGGTTTAAAAAAGCGCTGACGTCTTTTAAAGGACAAACATAAAACAGGAAGTTATTTTCTTCGCTGTGTTAAAATTTCACGTCATTAAGAGTTTTTCTTGCCATCTTTTTTCAATCAATCGTTCTTAATGCCTGCAATGCATTCTGGTAAAATGTACATGCCGCCACGAATTTCAAAAAAATTAGTACTTCACATTGTAGTCAGGGGCGAAACTATTACATTTAATGTGAACTTTGATCAAGCTCTGCAGTATTTTGAACATGCCGCCATCTTTTTCGTTACGGTCAATTGTAAAACACGTTCTGCTGAAAGATATCTTTTTATTCGTCGAAATAAAAAGAAATTCGTTTCACTAAAAGGCAGCGTTTTTAAAACAATTAATGCTTCATTTTTTAGCACACAAGTGCCGAATTGGTTGCAATGGCGAAACAAGCTTTGTCTAGAGCGGAGCTAGATATTGCTGAAAAACACTGTTCTCAAGCCGTACGAAAGCAAATACTAGAGAACAGGTCGACTGAGGTGAGCTGGCAGCCACATTTCTGCCTAGGGGAAGTCTTGGAGACGAAAGCAGCGAAAATTACTGGGAATTCTTTAGAAAAGCAGAGACTTCTTCTTCAAGCAGGGGCGCTGTACAACTTCGTGAAGAACTGCATAAAGAAAGGTCGTGCCGGCACGGATTGCTTGATTGAGACAATGAAGCGGTGTCTAAACGACTGCTGGGTATTGAAAACAACTTAGTGTTATCAGCTGAAGGAGATCCACTTCGATGTGATTTTGACTCAGAACTTGACAAGAAGGAGCTGGAGGAACTACGAGACGAGGCGAAAGAATATTTGGAATCGTTGAAACAGAAAAGGTCAGCCTACGATAGCCAAGAGCACGAAAAGCCGGAGAAGAAATTTGTTGAACGGGCATCGGAAATTAGGAAGTTATGTGAAAGAATATCATCAAGAGTGAAACGTTTCCTGAGCAGAGTTATCAGTCAATGCGTCCAGGTGTTAGGAGATCCGCCATGCGACTACGAAGTTGTTGTTCTGGGGTCTTTGGCCCGAGACGAAATGACGCCATACTCCGATCTTGAATGGGCCATATTGATAAGTTCAGAGGAAGTGAAATGCAAAGTGTTCTTTCGTAATTTAACGAACTTGGTTCACTTACAGGTAAGTAAATGAATCCCATTTCATTGTCGGTATAAAAACTGTAGGCTTTTAGCGTGGCAACGTGGCTAGGGATATTTTATGAGGTAGGGCTCGCTTTGATAATTTTGCATGTCTAACGTCAGGATGTACACCTAAAGGGGAAACGTAAATTTGTGTTTAAATCTAATAAATCATTGATCAATTTGAACTTCAAATCTCCTCCAGTCAATTTGCAGTATACTAGATCAGGTGGATACTTCCTTGAAAAGCATTTAGGATGAGTCTTTGGCATACCAGCAAGGGTACAGTCAACCTCCTAGCCAAAATCCATCTGTCTTAATGGATCACTCGCATAATAGACCAACTTTTGACTCAAGCAAAAAAAACTGCCAAGTTTGGCTGCGAAATATTGTAAAGTGTACCGAAGATATAGCCAAGCGAACTTGTATACTCTTAGCCGAAAGAGTGTAATTAAATTAATTACACATTTTCGCCCGTAATACAGAAGTGTACAAAAATTGATTACTTCACACACTTTACATGGCTATATTTTCCGTACTACCCGACATTTTGCAGCCAAACTTGGCAATTATGCTAATTCCAATATGCCCTTCCCTTCTTAGCTGTGGTGATTTTTTCCCTTCTTGTTACCTACTTGAAAAGTTGGTCTATCATTCTGCAAGATATGCAATGTATCTAACCTAAGACTGCTTTTCCCGCAGATAATCAACCTCGGGGAAACTATTCTACCAAGCATGGGTATCAAAGCATTGAGCGGTGAATGGTTTTACGACAATGTAACACCGAGGGGGATATCCTTTGACGGATTCCTTCCACAGGCATGCAAGACTCCGTTGGGAAACATAAAAGATTTCGAGTTAATTCATTGCCCGGCTAAAATGGCAGAGTTCCAGAGCGACTCTTGGTGTCAAAAAAATCCAAATCTTGCAGATATTCTGTTAACTGTTGCTCCACTAGAATCGAATGGGCAAACAAAATTGATCGAGGAATACAGAGCACAGCTGGAAAAATATTTGTGTTCTTCGTGTGATCTTAGTAATTGCCATGACAACTATATTTCTACCGGGAATCCTCCATGTCGTGGGGTGTGTAGAGGAATGGCTGGACTTCGAAAGGATTTTTCGCGCTATGAAAAGATGTTACCCAGCATTGACAAGATGCATGAAGACGGCAAACTGTACGATGTTAAAAAGGAGATTTATCGTTTAGTGGATCGTGTGTTTGCAGGTCTTGCATCATTCTTCGGGATCAGGGTGAACGGGGCATTCAAGATTCTCGATGAGCTTGAAAGGAACGGGATAATCACATCTGCAGGCCGGGAAAATTTAGCCAGTGCAGCAGGCATTGCTCTCGAACTGAGAATAAAAACGTACCTTGAAGCCGGAAAACAGGGAGAGCTGGTCATTGCAAACACCATTGATAAAGATGAGGCAATTGCAAGCAATTTTGAAACGTTTTATTGTTTGCTGAATGAAGAAGAACTGTTTCACATTTTCTTCGTTGCAACGCCTTTGTACAAAGCTATTCGACAATGCTGTATATTGGACGGAAACAATTCAAGTTCGTTTGCGGAACAGACGTTTTTTGACTGCTCTCCCGCCGTTAGGGGTCATGTTTATAGTCGTATCCTGAAGTACGAGAAAGCTCTTGAGTGTTACGAAAATGCACTGGAAGAAAACCCCGAAGATGTAGAGATGCAACTTCGCACATTTTATTATCAGCTGGAATTGGACAGGAGTGCGGAAATGGCTCTCCGCGTAGAGAAACAACTTGAAGCTTTAATTCGTAGACTGTGCAAGAAGCATGGCCTTCCAGAAGGGAATGTCGATCAAAATGGGCACTTCGTTCCGCCGATAGACATTATTTCAATGCAAAATGAACCAGATAGCAGATGGGAATTACTTAGGGTCTTGGAACAATTGCGCGTCTTCCACGTTTGCCAAGGAAATTTAGAAGTGGCTCAACACATTGCCGATCATTGTACGATCGTCGGTCAGTCCGCGGACTTGCCGACTTACTTCAGCCTTATGCGAATGACTGATAAGCAAGTAAACCGAGAAGAATTGGAAAAACTTGTTGCTTATCTCGGGATGCTTGTAGAAGAAGAAGGCATTTCCACTCAGAGCGTTGTATTGTTAAACGAGCTCGGTGGTTTATTGATTGAACAAGAGAATTTTCAGCAAGCTTACCAGTGTTTACAACGAGCACTCGCGATGGAACGTACTCTTTTCATTTCTAACTACAACCCACAAACCAAGATAACGTTAACTTATCTTGGAATAATCACATTAAATCTAGGCCTGTACCAGGAAGGTAAAGTTTATTACGAAGAGCTTCTTCAATTACGCAAGTCCCTGAATGGTGAAAGCGACGAAAAATTGATCGAAAATCAAATGATGGTAGGAATCCTCTGCCTCCACACCAACCACAATGAGGAAGCTATTTCCTATTTCAAGGACGTTTTAGCACTTTTAAAAAGTGACAGTTTCAAGCGAGAGTCGTTTTTGGAATGCATAACTCATGGTATGCTAGCGATTGCCTGGAACGCTTTAAATGAGTCAGAAAAAGCGCTGAACTCCTCGATGGTTGCGCAAGAGTGTTTAAAGAGGATAACTAACTTGGACATAAAAGTGCCTCTAACCTGTGCTGCTGCTGCCGATAACCTTTTCATGTTTGGAAGACACGAGGATGCGGTACTTCTGATAAAAAGGAGCCTCGAAGACCCCAATTCCGAGCTTAAAGCGCGCCACAAAGCTCAGTATCTTAAATTTCTCGGACAATTTTACGTTCAACAAGGTCTTCCTTTACAAGCAGAGCCCTTCTATAGGGAGGCTCTGGACTGTTTCCTGGTCGATAATGAAAATACGTGCGCAATTGTTGAGTGCTTGTTTGAGCTTTCCACCATAATGTTTGGAAAAGGTGATTCAACAGAGGTGAAAAGCTTGTTGAAAGAAGCATGGAAGTATGCCTCAAAGGTCACCGGAGACAGGCAATCATGCGACTATATAAGGAGGATTGGGATGCTTTGGGTCTCTCTGGGTGACGCCGATCATGCCCTTGTGTTTTATGAGGAGGCACTAGCCAACTACAAGAAGTCGAGTGCCCTAGTAAATGCTCCATTATTCGAATCCGAGCTGCACATTAACGTTGGGGATATGACAAATGTGACAAATGAAATGGATTCTGATGTCCCGTTGTCCTCAGAAAAGACACAGAATTCTCAGCGGGTTCACTACGACCGCGCTGAAGAGGTTCTCCAACATCAAATCTCACTTGGGAATGTAAATGGCATGGTCGCTTTCATGTTGGTCTTCCTGGCATCAAAATATAGTGTATTTGATTTTGTCAAGGAAGAAGAGAAACTCTTGCTTGAAGCGTTGGAGATATGCAAAAGTATCGATGTTGATACACGTGAAGTTGAGGCTGCCGCCCTGACCGCACTTTCGGATACAAAATGGCATTCTGGGGATCACCTCTCCTCTTTCAGTTTGCTGGAACGCTCGTTGAGAATTGAGATGGAATTGAATGAATCAGGTACAAACTATTCGCACATCCCAGACCTACTTCTCAGACTAACTCGGTTACATTTAAACGTAAAAGACAATACGCTGTTAGGAGAAATAACCGAGCGTGTTCTGGATTTTGTTGACCTGGTTGAATACCAGGATTTCCCTAAGGAAAATGCAGGGATGTGCCTATGGTCAGCATTCGTTCTGTATTCGTCCTTGGACAAATTGTTACATGCGTACAATGCTCTTGAACGCGCAAATGAACTTTTCAATGCAGCCGAGCGGGAAAGTACTGCGGAGAATGAATTGCAAGCGGCGTTTGCAAAACGCCTTTTCACATTATACCCCTATTCCAGGCATACTCAAGAGTTGATCGCCAACGACCTAGCACCTTTAGCCTTCCCTGGGGCTACAGACCAGCTTGTTGAAGCAGTATCGTCAGTTGTTACACGCTCTGATGACGCTAAAATAACAGCAAAGAAAAAAGAAACGAGTTCACGCGAAGCGAAACAGTTTTCCGCAAACTCCATCATCGGGCGCGTTGTGCATAATGTAACAACGAAGCTGTTTGAGTTTTTACCCTCAGATGATGGAAACTCGGATCTCGATTCATTGCTTTTCGATTTTTGCGAAGAAATTGTCGCAACAGAAACACAGAACATAATGGCAAAGAAAAAAAAGCAATCAAAAAGAACCCAGAATTTCGAAGAGAGAATAGATATGTTGCACAAGCTGGCTGAGAATGTAAATAGCGATTTAAAGACTGGAAATATTTTGCAGGCATCCAGAACCATTCGTGGACGTTTAAAGCCATTTGTCGTGTCTCTCTTCCAAAATAACTGCCCAGAGAATATCGATCCTGCTGAATATTTGTTCAATGAAGCACTCGAGGCGAAGAAAAGCCACGAATCAATGATGATGTTGGTGTACCTACATCTCACCGACTCCTTTCCCTCTCAACCACAAACTAAAGCTAA